TTTTTTTTTTTGCCAATAGGAGTTGCTCATGTGGCTATGCCACGTTTCCTTTATCCACTGCTGGGCCTGTTTGTTGTTTCCACCTGTTGGCTTTTGTGGACAGTGCTGCTGTGAACTTCCATGCACAAGTTTCTCTGTGGATATGAGTTTGCATTGCTCTTGGGTACGCTCCTACGAGTGGAATTGCGGGGTCCTATGATAACTCTATGTTTAATCGTTTAAGGAACCTCCAGGGTGTGGCTGCACCATTTTCCATTCCTATCAGCAGCATCTGAAGGTTCCCATTTGTCCACACCGTTCTTAGAATCGTACAGGTACCTCCTTGCAGGTTGCACATGTAACTCACCCGCAAGGGGCCTCCCGAAGTGGAGCAGACACTGTGCATTGAGATGTAATTTGAAGAGAGTCATCTCCCTGATTCACCCTTTTCTCCCCGACCCTTGATTAGTTCTCTGATATCTGACTTCTTCCACTATTAGGGTCTTCCTTTATCCAAAATGCCTGTTTTTGCCTCTGGTTGCATGATACACATGCATGCTTATAATATTTTCAACTTACAATGGATTTATCAAGACATAACCCCATCTTAAGCTGAAAAGTGTACACTAAAATGCAACTAGTACCTAACAGCGGCTGTCTTTAGGTGATGAAATTACAGACGATCTTTATTTTCTTTAGACATTTCTGCGTTGCTTGAATTGTTGCAATGAGGATTATTCCATTTAGAGAGAGAGAAATGAATCCATAACAATACGGATTCTTACTGTGTGCAATGGACTGAAGTTTTGTCTGTGCCTGTTCTGGATGTGTGGTACAGGACAGGATCTGTATTCAACCTCAGTTCTTCTCAGACACTTGGCCACCCCTCACGTCTACCTCAGACCCCTTTGATAAGTCCACCTTTAGAGAAGATACTTCTTGCGAAAGGGTCATTTTCATGACCCTTCTCCTAGCAAGCAAGAGGTTTTTTCCCCTCCAAGATGGAGTTTCGCTCCGTTGCCCAGGCTGGAATGCAATGATGCGATCTCAGCTCACTGCAATCTCCGCCTCCCCGGCTTCAAGCGATTCTCCAGCCTCAGCCTCCCGAGTAGCTGGGATTACAGGCACCCACCACCACGCCTGGCTAACTTTTGTATTTTTAGTAGAGACGGGGTTTCACCATGTTGGCCAGGCTGGTCTCTAACTCGTGACCTAAGAGGTATTCTTTTGCACAGACTTTCTTGTTTGTCTTCAGCCTGTTTTCTGGAATCAGATTTAACTCAGCATCATCGCCATTACCACAGAGAGTCTTAGGCAGTTCAGGCTGTTGTAACAAAGTGTGGTAGACTGGCTGGCTCATGGACAGCAGGCGTTCATTTCTCACCATTCTGGAGGCTGGGAATTCCAAGATCAGGGTTCCAGCATGGTCGGGCTCCAGAGAGGGCCCTGTCCTGGGTTGCAAATGGCTGGCTTCTCATGGCATCCTCACATGGATGAATGACAGCAAGAAAAGTCTTTGGGATCCCTTTTAAAAGGGCACTAATCCCATTCGTGAGGGCTCCACCCTCATCACCTAATCACCTCCTAAAAGCCCAGCCTCCAAATACCATCACATTGGGGGTTATGATTTCAACAAATGAATTTTTTTTTTTTTTTTTTTTGTGGGGAGAACAAACATTCAGTCCATTGAACGGAGTAAGAATCACTATTGTGATGGACTCACTCATTTCTCTCCCTCTAAATGGAATAATACTCACTGCCACAATTCAAACAATGCAGAAATGTCTAAAGAAAATAAGGACCATTTGTAATTTCATCACCTAAAGATCGCCACTGTTAGGCACCAGTAGCATTTTAGTGTATACTTTTCTTTTTTAAAATTCTTTTTCTGTTATTTTAATTTTTGGTCTGGGAACCGACGGAATAATGTACACTTTTCAACTTACAATAGGGCTGTCTCTATAAACGCATCATAAGTTGAAAATATTATAAGCTGAAAATGCACTTCTGATTTATATACTCAGCTTACGATGGGTTTAATCTGGATGTGACTCCATTGTAAGTTGAGGAGTGTGCTGAAAGTGTAGTACTTTTGTACCACAGCAAAGTAAAAAAATTCTCAGTTGAACCAGAGGAAGTCAAGGACCATATGTGCATTCATATACAAACGTATTTCCTTCTTACCAGCAATGGGTTAATGTTATACGTAACTTATGTAATTTTTCCCCACTGTATCACTGCCTCTTTTCAAGTCAATGAGTATGTATTTACATTGTCTTTGGAAACATTGGACAGTATTCCATTGTTTGGATATGCCACACATAACCCATTTCCAATGGCGGGCATTTAGCTTTGTCCTTGTTTTCTTATTACAAACAGTGCAGTGATTAACACCTTTGTTTGTATATCTTTGAATATAGGATCCTCATAGGATCACTTTCTTTAGAAACTGGTATATTGGCAGGTTAAAGGGTATATGTTCTTTTAAGGCTTTTGTTGCGTGGCACCAGATTTTGCACTGGAAAGGTTGGACCTAAACTCATGTGGAGCTTGCCTCCTTGGAGTGGAAAGGACCTGGGGATGCAGGACAGAAGGAAAGGAAAAAAGTATCTTTATTAACAACCAATCATCCCACTGCAAAGGATTATGCTAATTTATGCAACTGGCAATGTCTATTTTCACATATTCTTGCCAATACTGGATATTGTTAAGATTATAGGTGGAAAATGTTGC